GTCGCCTTGAATAGAAGAGACCTCTCGAGTCACGATTCAGTTTCGTTGAAGGCTGCGGGGAGGGGGGGAAGGAGTAAGGGAGGGAGTGAAGGAGTGAGCTAGGGAGGAAGGAGTGAGCTAGGGAGGAAGGAGTGAGCTATGAGCTATGGAGAGAAGGAGTGACCTAAGGAGGGAAGGAGTGAACTAGAGAGGGAATGAGTGAGCTAGGAAGGGAAGGAGTGAGCGAGGGAGGAAAGGAGTGAGCTAGGGGAGAAGTGAGCGAGGGAGGAAAGTGAGCTAGGAAGGGAAGGAGTGAGCTGAGCTAGGTGTGCTAGGGAGGGAAGGAGTGTGCTAGGGAGGGTACGAATGAGGGAAGGAGTGAGCTAGGAAGGGAAGGCGTGAGCTAGGGAGGGAAGGAGTGAGCTAGGGAGCGAAGGAGTGAGCTAGGGAGCGAAGGAGTGAAGGAGAAAGGAGTGAATGAGGGAGGGAAGGAGTGAGTGAGGGAGAGAAGGAGTGAGCTAGGGATCGAAGAAGTGAGCGAGGGAGGAGAAGAGTGAGCTAGGGAGAGAAGGAGTGTGCTAGGGAGGGAAGGATTGAACTAGGAGAGGGAGGAGGGGAGTGAGCTAGGGAGGTAAGGACAGAAGGAAGAATAAGGGAGAAGGGGAGAAAAGGAGGTGGGGGGGGGAGGATTGAGGGAGATAGAGAGAGAAAAGGTAGGATGGAAGGAGGGATGGAGAGAGAGAGGGGAGGTTGTGATAGAATGAAGGAATGAGAGGAGGAAGGGGGGAGTGGTAGAAAAGGCGGGAGGAATGAAAATCATTAAGCTCTCTTTGGATTCTCGGTGATTCACAATTCGGGTTCCCCTGTTGGGATTCCGCGGCAGATTCCTAATGTGGATTCCCGACGTGGATTCGGCGTGCGTGAATCATGCGGCGGAGGGGGTCGGCCGGAGGGGAGCGAGGCCTCATCACGAGAAGACGAGAGGCTTCGGATCAGCGCTTGGTTGCCCGCTCGCCGCCGCCTGGTCCCCTGCGCGGCTCCTCTTTGTGGCCGCTGTGGGCGTCGTCAGGGGGGCTTGGGGTTGGGGTCCTTGGCTGGGGGTAAGGGCGTAAGGGTTTCAGGGCTTAGGGGTAGGGGGTCCAGGGCTAGGGGCTTGGGGGTAATGGGTCCAGGGCTAGGGGTAATGGGTCAGGGTTAGGGGCATGGGAGGGGTCCAGGGATAGGGGTTTGGGGGTAAGGTTGGGGCTAGGGGGTAGGGGGTCCAGGGCTTGGGGCATGGGGTAGTGGGGCTTGGGGAAAGGGTCCAGGGTCTAGGGTTTAGGGGGTCCAGGGGGGCATGGGGTAGGGGTCCAGTGCTTAGGGCTTGGGAAAGGGGTCCAGGGGGGCATGGGGTAAGGGAGTGCTTAGGGCTTCCAGGGTTAGGGATTTGGGCCACTGACCTTGCAAGGGCGATATTGGCCCGTTTTGGCAATATCGCATTTTATTTATTCGTTTTTTAGATTTCCCGCTGTATCTCCGTGAATTTTTCGCATGAGGATTTTTTTCTTTGAAACGAGAGCCCGAGATGGAACGAAAGTAAGAATGTGTGTGTGTGTGTGTGTGTGTGTGTGTGTGTGTGTGTGTGTGTGTGTGTGTGTGTGTGTGTGTGTGTGTGTGTGTGGTGTGCATGCGTGTGTGTGTGTACATATACATGCATAGATACATATACATATATATTATATATATTATATATATATATATATATATATATATATATATATATATATATATATAATATACATGTATGTATATATATATATGTTTATATATTTATGTATATGTACACAAATACACATACATATGTATACATATAAATATACATACATACATACACGTCTATACACAAGTGCACATAATGATGCATGCACATATATTTCATAGTGCAGAGTCTATTTAAAGCAGTCAGAGCGTTGAGCACAGTGTCCTCCTGAGTAATGGCACCCGCGAGCCCCCGCGAGTGATAGAATGACAAATTGCCGTAGTTTCCCTGGGTTCTCGCCCCCCGCAAGCGTGCAAGCGGGCGGCTGAGCGCGAGGTAAAGGGAGGGAATTGAGACGTGGAGCGCCGAGCGAGGGAGCCCGGCTAGGCCTGCGACGCCGCGGATTCCGGCGGCTCAAGAACGAACTTCACGGAACTTTCCGGGAATGCGGGAAATGCTCGCCCAATTAGGAGGCAAGCGGTGGCCGTTTGGGGCTTGTTCTCATTGTCCAACTATGTACATACATTCATACATACATGTGTATGTATGTATGTATATATATATGTATGTATGTATGTATGTATGTATGTATGTATATATATGTATATATGTATATATGTATGTGTATATATATATACATATACATATATATATATATATATATATATATATATATATATATATATATATATATATATATATATATATAATTTGTGTGCGCATGTGCGCGCGCGTATATATATATATATATATATATATATATATATATATATATATATATATATGTAATATACTCGTATGTATATATGTAATATACTCGTATGTATATATGTAATATGTAATATATATACTCGTGTATATATATATATATATATATATATAATATATATATATATATATATATATATATATATATATATATATATATATGGGTGTGTGTGTGTGTGTGAATTCATTGTCCTCCCCTCGCTTATCCATTCCTTTTTCTTAGATATGTTCATTTCCATCGTAATGCTTTTATTTACGTTGCTGAGATTAATTTTCTGCCAGGCTTTCTTATTTTTGTAATGATAGATGTTGCCGTGTCTGTAATGGCGCCTGGCCTCGCCCCTCGCGCGTTGCTGGGTTCGCCGGGGTAGCGGTCACTAGGCTCACCTTGGCTTTATTGGCATCGCTCTCTCTCTCTCTCTCTCTCTCTCTCTCTCTCTCTCTCTCTCTCTCTCTCTCTCTCTCTCTCTCTCTCTCTCTCTCTCTCTCTCTCTCTCTCTCTCTCTCTCTCTCTCTCTCTCTCTCTCTCTTTTAGTACCCGGCAAGCCACCCGAGTTCAGTGGCCGCGGGTCGGGAGGCCGATCACGGTGAGTGGCTTTTGTCAGCGCTGCAAACGGCTGTGCATGTTCGAATTTCAGTGTTGTCAGCGTCAAGTGTCATACCAGTCGCGATAGGTATTATTTGTCAGTCTCGTATCGTTTGAAAAGGAAGCTGTGTTCGTTTTTTTCTGTTTGGAATGAGCTTGTACGTTTGCTGACTTGGTAACTAACTCATGCGCTCACTCATCCAACCACTGTCACACGCAAATGTGAATGCGGATGTTGTAAATGATAATTTTATGTATCCCGGACACACTCATGTACACGCATACCCCTATCTATACGGACACCCACATGCATATACACGCGCAAAACTTCACATACACATATGTGCATATGTCCGCATACACATGAAATCACACACATGTACACGCACACTTTTCTCCCTTCACCCAGCTCTCCGCCTCCCTCCATGTAAATATTGATATCACATAGAATGTATGTTGATTCAGATTGACTGTGTGAGCAGGTGCATACTTGTGTTTTGAGAGAGGCAGAGACAGAGACAGACTGGGACGCAGGACAAGCAGAAACAGCACGGACAGTGTAAGGACTGAGAGCTGAAGTTTGTTCAGTCTCCTGTCTGTCTGTCTGTCTGTCTGTCTCTCTTCTCTCTCTCTCTCTCTCTCTCTCTCTCTCTCTCTCTCTCTCTCTCTCTCTCTCTCTCTCTCTCTCTCTCTCTCTCTCTCTCTCTCTCTCACACACACACACACACACACACACACCACACACACACACACACACACACACACACACACACACACACACACACACACACACACACACACACACACACGCTTCTACTTTTCCCTCTCTATCTCCATTACCCTCTCCCCTATCCCTTCATACATATATAGATTCGATGTGACCAGAGCTCCTTTTTCCTTCCGAGGATATTGCACTAGAGTTTCGAATGACCTTGGCATAATTCAAGTGAAAGGGAGAAAGTAGGGAAGGGAGACAGAGAGAAGAAGAGGGCAAAGAGAAAGAGAGAGAGAAAGAGATGGATAGAGAGAGAGGGACGCAGACTAAACTCAACCTGACTAGGTCATGCCAGCAAGCCAGCCAGCCAGACAGACAGACAGACACAGGGGAAGAGATGGAACTCTGAGATGAAGCCTCTAATGATTGGCTATAGTCTGAGGGGGTTGGGAGGGAGAGGGATATGTATTTCAATGAATAAGTTTTTGTTTTTCATGATGGCATGGAATGGAGGGAAGAAGGGGAAAGCTGGTAAATTTGCGTGTGTAGACATAAGTTAGACAAAGAAGGGCAATACTGAAAAGAGGGAAAAGACAAGAGAAGAAAGAAGGAAGATGAGAAGAGGGAAAAGACAGAGACGAAGAGAGAGGAGGAAAGGAGGAGAGGAGAGACGAGAGAGATGAGAGAGAGGAGAGAAGAGAGAGAGGAGAGAGAAGGAGAGAGAAAGAGAAAAGAGAGAGAAGAGAGAGGAGAAAGAGAACAGAGAGAGAGAGAGAGAGAGAGAGGAGGAGAGAGAGAGAGAGAGAGAGAGAGAGAGAGAGAGGAGAGAGAGAGAGAGAGAGAGAGAGAGAGGAGAGAGAGAGAGAGAGAGACAGAGAGAGGGAGAGACAAGAGAAGGAGAGAAGAGAGAGAGAGCAGAGAAGAAAGGAAAGAGGAGGAGAGAGAGAGAGAGGGAAGCGAGAGAGAGGGAGAGAGAGAAAGTGAGAGCGAGAGAGGAGAGAGAGAGAGTGAAAGCGAGAGAAGGAGAGAGAGAGAGTGAAGCGAGAGAGGAGAGAGAGAGAGTGAAGCGAGAGAATGAGAGAGAGAGAGTGAAAGCGAGAGAAGGGAGAGAGAGAGAGTGAAGACGAGGAAGAAGGAGAGAGAGAGAGTGAAAGCGAGAGAAGGAGAGAGAGAGAGTGAAAGCGGAGAAGGAGAAGCGAGAGTGAAAAAGCGAG